AGCTCTAGCTCATGTGCCTGTCTATAATGAAGCCCTGGATCTACCCATCGAGCTGCGGTAAATGGGTATGCTGGCTCACACCTGTAAAACCAGCACTCTGGAAGTGGAGGCAGGGTGAACAGAACTTCAAGGTCATCCTTAGCTACACAGCTTGGAATACAGGAGACCTTGTCAGACCCTGTCTTAAAAAAGAAAGGAAGGAAGGAAGGAAGGAAGGAAGGAAGGAAGGAAGGAAGGAAGGAAGGAAGGAAGGAAGGAAAGAAGGGAAGGAAGGAGGGAGAGCAGATGACTCTAAGGTAGAGGTGAGTGGGCTACACTCTGCATCTGCCACCTCTGAAGCCAGGGCTGGAGAAGCGGGGGTAAGAGAAAAGTCCAGAACGCTGGCTAGACTGGAGGAAGGCCGTGATAGGAATTGGTGGGCAGGTGGTGGCAGAACAAGAGCAAGGCCACCCTCTACCCCTACTTCCTGTCACCCTGCTGTGACTCATTCTCCTTGAGAAGCCTGTGAGGGGATGGACCAGAGAACTGAGTGAATCAGCAGGTGGAGGAGCTAGGAGTGGACTCTACAGCCAAGGTGAACTTTGAACCGGAAGAGTGCTGCCTTAGTCTGTGTCTCATGAGTGTGTGTCTGAGTGTGGGGGGAAGAGTGAGGTTGTGTGCACGTGTGAGCAGCCTCTCACTGGCATGACTCTGTCTCTGCTTCAGTTGGGGAGCCCATTTTGAAGACCGCAGTAAATCTGCTCCCTGTTCCCAGGGTCCAGTCCCCCCCCCCTTCCTGGAACTTTGCCCACAAGGCACACTGGACTATAAGTTGGGATGGTAAGAGGGGTGAGCAATGGTGCCTGCAGGTCTCGAGGGGATCACGTACCTTGCTTCCCTGGCACTGTAGCACGATTAATAAAAACCCAGAGACAGAATGTGGGGTTCAACCAGAAGGTCAGAAAAGCAAAACAGCCAGTCACTGGCTCTTACCTCCACCTCAGTCTGAGATGGCAATCCTGCCTCCAGGAATCTCAGAATGAGACTGTGTCTGAGAGCTGTCTCCTCCCGTCTTATATTCATCTCTAGGGCTTGGATTAAAGGTGTGCACCACTATTGCCTAGTTTCTATAGCAAATTAGTGTGGCTACTGGGATTAAAGGCGTGTGTCACCACTGCCTGGTCAGTAAGGCTGATCAGTGTGGCTGTTTTACTCTCTGATCTTTAGGCAAGCTTTATTTATTAAAATACAAATAAAATGTCACTACATGGAACCCCTTTCTTCACTTAGATCATGGACTTAGCCCCTCCAACCATGCAGGGAATACCACACCCAGAGGAAACAGTGCCCTGGGGCAGCAGGACTGGCACCTGGCAGCCTCAGGAGCTGCCTTCCACCCATTTGCTACTCTGAGCTGAGGGAGGGGGTTGTCCCCAAGGTGGGTTTTATACCACTTCTTCCCTCCTACAGTCCATCTGAGGTAGGCGCTCTTCTTAGCTCCTGCACACAAGGAAACCAAGGTGCCCAGAATCAGTGACTAGCAGAAGATTGGAGCCCAAAGACCAGCTCCAGGCTGTGATCTCTGCCAAGGGCACAACATCTCTGGACAGCACAAGCCAGTCATTGGGCAAGGCTCTGGGATTTTATGCTAAGGTCCCAGCACTTCCTCACTGCCAGGCAGAAGGAAGCAGTCTGCCTGAGAGAGGGTGCCATGAGGGACCCTTCCTCCAGAGCTGTCTGAGACCGGACGTCTCTGTGCCGCTAGCATCTCTCAGCCTCGTCAAACATAGCCACACTCATCACTCCTTCAGGAAAAATTCACTACCGGGCAAAAGTGTAAACTTTATGATTATGCAGATACCTGCTGCATGCGTATCTCAGAAAATTCTAGAACCTTCTGACATGCCTTAAAGAAGCAAGCAGGCAGCTAAAGAGGGGTGCTGGGGTTTTCTGTAGGCAGCTGATAAGGAGCAGGGGCGGAGTCCACAGCAGAGAGGCTGCAGGCTCTGGCAGCTTACTAGAGTCCCCTCCGACGCAGTGGGTAAGGGTGCAGAAGTTGGAGGTGAGCAGTTGGGGATGGGGGCAACAGGCTGAGTCCTGGATAGCACACAGGAGGCCTGAGTTCCATCCTGCATCTAGTTCACCAGTTACCTGATATTTGCTGGGCCTCAGTTTCCTTATCTATGACCAAAGGATGCCACAGCGTCCATGGAGGATTTCCACCTGTGCCTTTTAGGTCCCAGTCCTAGGATTAGTGACAGTTACTGGTGTTTGTATACTCTGCTACCTACAGTCAAGACCCCTTAGTCTTGGAGATGAATAACTGCAGACGTAGGACTTAGGTTTGAAGGCTGTTTGGGTGCGTTGGTTCCCCCACCTCCGGCTGTCTCCTCATTCCAGCCCAGCTCATGTCTGATCAGCTAGCATGGGTATGGAGGTGCAGTAACAGTAGGGAAGCAAGGAAGAATGCAGAAGGAACGGGGGGCCAAGGATGGAGAGAGCCCAGCAGTCAGGCAGGGCAGAAGCAAGTGAAGACTCAGGCAGGGTCTGTCTTCCCACTCCACTAGCCTTTCTTTGAACACGTAGGAGTCTCCTTGATCCACGGTTTTCTTTCCCTTGATCAACCATGGCCTGAAATTATTTCATAGAGGATTCCAAAATAGGCAATCAGATTTATAAAACTTGTGTGCCATCCAAACCAGAGTAAGGAAACGTCAGGCTATTCCACTGCCGAGCTCTGGACATAATGCTCACCGTGCAGTGTGTCCTTGCTGTATACACTGCCCGCCTGTTAGGCCCTCTTGGAGCTTCCTGACCACACAGGATCTTTGTGGTGTCATCACGCGTGTGCTCACATAAAAACTGTGCTAGACTGTATCATAGGCGGGTAAGTTTAGGGACGAAACAGCACAGGTAGGGCTCAGTGCTGTCTGGGTAGGGGAAGTGGGCTGCGTGGGTAGGAGAAAGCCCTGTGTCTTCTGGAAGGGGTTCACCTTTGAAACAGCTCATCTGACAAGACCGGCGTGAGTTAGGAGGAAATGAGCTCTCCGGTGTCAGCCACCAGCAGCAGATGTCCCAGAAGCCAGGACACCTGTGACTCCACACAGAGACCATGTGGGTTTAGGGAAAAACAACTCCTGACTGTAGGCCAGGAACGGGCGTGCTGGAACCGCTGTAGCTCAGGCACCAGAATGGGAGCCAGGAATGCATAAAATGGGTCCTGACTGCAAGTACCATGGAGGCGGGCTTTGGAGGTGGGTCTAAGGATCAGGGACACACGTCCCTGTACCAGCTGTCTGGACATCATTAGGGTTCTGGAGAAGGAACATCAAGGGTCAGGTGGCAGCTGGCTCAGAGCGGACAAGTGTGTCCCGAGACCCAGCTGCTCTTACTCTTCATATTCTTGGTAGGGTATCCTCTTAGATCAAAATGCTGCCAGTCCTTTTCCTGATCAAAAACCTGGCCCCGCCTCCTTCACAGAATAGAATCCTGGCTATCTGTGCACAAGCTAGCTGGAGCACACTTACCAAACATCATCCCTGACCTTCAGCTCTGAGTACCTGCCAGGTGTCCCTTGGCCCACACTGTTCCTTCCAATCATATTGATGTCTTCTCACTATATCTGTTTCTTGTTGACAAACTCCTTGCACCCCAGGTATCTTACACAGGTCACAGCCCTGTGTACATACTTGTCACGTGGTCTGCATGACCTGTGGGTTTTTCCGGGATGAAGCTTTGTGCGCTTTACCTCCACATTTGTATTTTCCTGCAGCATGCTCCTGTGAGTAGGAGTCCAAAGTCCAAGCCTGAGACATCTCTGAGGATCCCTTCATGGGGTAAGGCCCATCATCTGGTTCCCGTCATCTGGTTCCCGTCATCTGGTTCCAGAGCAGCCTGTCGTTCCCCAGCTGTGAGGCGCTGAAGCACATCCTTCCTTTCTTTAGGTTTCCATTTCTTTATCTGTAAAATATGCTTACAGACCCAGAGAATCATATGCAACCATCTTAAAGCCTCTGGACCCTCCCTTTCTGCATCTGTGTCTCCCTGCAGCACACACATAGTAAGTACTCAGTAAGCATGCTTAAGATTAACAAGACACAGAAGAAACTAATGGCAAAGGAATCCACTCCATGTAGCAAGCTTCATGTAAAGGCAGCAGACGTAAAAACCCCTCGATGATGGGATCTCCCAGTGCCAGAGAAGATGATCTATGTAAGTAACTTAGTGCCCAGGGCTTGAGAGCCTCCAACCTGCCCCAGCTTTCTGGCTCATTCCCACCCCTGAGAGTGCCTGTTTCTCTCCTAACAAACTGTCTCTATTTTTATCACTATCCATGTGGTCTTGGTCCAATTCTTTGTTCCAGGACATATGAACCTGGAAATCTCAGTAGGTAACCTCTGGCCTCAGATCCACGCCCATAACAGTTGGCAAGTCAGGGGGTGAGATTATTAATAAGACGGCAAGACCAGATGCACTCTCTGTCTCAGTGTGTTTGGCCTGATAGTTCACGTTAGCTGGGCTCAGAGATGTGCCAGGCACATTCACGCACATTTGGAGGGAAATGGGGAATTGTTAGGCTCCTGCCTGAGGCCCCAGGACTTCTGTCTGCACAGGAAAGGAAGTCCTTGGGGACTCATTCCAGAATAATCTACATGTTGCCTGGAGAAGATCCGAGCATGAGACTGCAGCTTTCCCAAAGCAAGTCAGGAAACTCGTGATAAAGCCAGTACAGGTGCGCTGCCCCTGTCCGTCAAGGCCTCCCAGAGGATGTCTCCAGAGGAGACCACCCACCAGGTGTGTGTTGTAAAGGCCTCCTTCCCCTAATACAACCCTTGGGAGCTGAGGGAAGAAGATTAGAGTTGATGGGGAAATTTGAGTTCATACTTGGGGGTGACAAAATAAAATAGAGCATCTCAAGAAACATCATGGATTTAAAATTAAATTTCAAATTGTTTTTTCCAGACTTGAATCCAGCACAATTCCTGAAGCAACATAACTTTTTATCAGCTCCCCCAAAACTGCTTACCTTCCATGGGAAATATAAGTATGCACTTAGTGTGTATGGTTCCTTTATTTTTATTTTAGGAAAGAGTTTTAGCTTATGTGTGTTTTTAGCTTATGTTCTGCCTGCAGGCATATTTATCTGTATACCACATACATGCACTTCCCACAGAGACCAGAAGAGGGCTTTAGATCCTATGGAACCAGAAATACAAGTGGTTGTGAGCTATTGTGTGGGTGCTAGCATTCCAACCCGAGTCTTCTGCAGGAGCCGCCAATGCTCTTAACCTGTGAGCGGTCTCCCAAGCCCTTTAATATTATATGTATATAAGTGTTTGCCTATATGTACATCTGTGCATAATATGAATGCCTGGTACCCAGAGAGGCCAGAAGGTATCAGTGACGAGTGGGGATGTCACAGGATTGGCAGGGCTGAGGCTGTCACCCCAAACTATGCTAGAAGCTGACCCCAACCTGCTTTCAAATCTGAACTAAGCAACAAAGAGCCAAAGTTCCTCATTCATCTTCAAGCCTTAGATTCTGTTTTTTTTTTTTGTTTGTTTGTTTGTTTGCTTGCTTGCTTCAGTTTTTATTGTATTGGTGAGAGCATGCCCTCAGCCAAAGCAGCCTAGCTTGGCGCTTGTATACGAACATCTGTGGCTCACATGTGATCCTCAGTAACAAATCAGCTTTGACATATAGAAGAGACAAGGAGATGGGCCGACAGATCCATGCAGTTCTCAGCAAAGAGAAGTGACTCTCCGCATATCAACATCCAAATTCAAACAGGTTCTACATTATGTCTTAGGGAAAGTGTGTCTTCATAAATTGTGTATGTTTGAGTGGAAAAATCATTAACCAGAAAAACCCACAGCCTGATCTCTCCTGGGAAATATCACACAATGAAAAGCATAGAACATATATCTTCCCAGTGCGTGGAACCGTGAGTGTGACACGCCCAGAAAGAGGCTGCTGCGCTGACCTGCCCAGCGGGCTCAGAGTTCACAGTCCACCGCCAAGCCCCAAATCCTGCCCGCTCTGAAGGGCTCCTGCCTGCCTGCCAGAGTCTTTAAAATGTTGGGGAGCTCCTTTCAATCTGCACAGTGAACAGCGCAGCCCGGGAGGAGGATTAATAATGCATCCTCTTCGCAGCCACAGGTTCCTCGGCTGCCAGGGAGATTGCAGAGAGCACTAGGCACTGCAGTCCAAGCAGCCTGGAGTCAAACATTTATCAGCCCCAGCTCCAAAGGGTGGAGGTGCAAGAAATTTGCAGGTCATTCTAAGACCACATGAGTTCTTCTTCTTTTTAGTGGTAGTGAATTGATGGAGTTAAGGAGCCTGATTCTTTTCTTTTTTTTTTCTCTTTTCTTTTTAAGGTGTTGAGACTAAGGGACCCCACCCCAATGAGCCAATGTGACCTGAAAGGCCCCTACTGGGATTCCAACCACTCAGGACAGAACCTCTTTTCCACGAGGTCCTTCCTGATGGATGTGGGTGAAGACAGTGGCCGGTGAGCCAGTGAGTGCTGGGATCTCTGCAGGTTCAGATACAGGAGGACACACGGAGAGAGTCCGGGGCAAAGACAAGTGTCTGGACCTTGTGGCAGCGTGAGACAGGTGTTCAAATTGAGCCCCAAATCAGGAAGCGGAGATGGATGGACGGTGGTGCACAGTTGACTTTCCTTCATTGTTCAGCCTTGGGTCTCATCTCATGGGATGCTGACACCTACGTCCAAGTTGAGTTTTCCTGACTCAAAACTTCCCTGGACATGACCTCAAAGTGATGTCCGGAAGTGTGTCTCCTAGGGGATTTCAAAGTCTAATCAAGTTGACCAGTGCACAGGAGCAGAAAGGGTTGTGTGTAGACAGAGGCCCCTCCTGCTGTGCTTCTGGATTACTCTCCCTTTGAACGAGTCGTTGGCCTGTTTCACAACTCTCACCACAAGCAGGTGCATTCCAGGTCTAACTTCCAGCTATGTAAAAAAAAAAAAAAAAAATCACAGCTTGGTAAGGAAAAGGGGCTCCCCACATCTAAATGGTTCCCCTCACCCATCCTCCAACTCAGACAGTCTCCCCACCTTTCTCTATCTGCCCTGAACTCCAAGGAAGCTAAACTATTTGCATGCAACCAACAAACTCCCCAGATCTGTGGCTTCCTGCTGGGTTTGGCCAATGGGAAGGACCCACAGCAGACAGGAAAGATAGTGTATGTGGGTGAAGGTGGTTCTCTTGCCCCTTTCAGGCTACCCTCGGGCTACCCCATCTCTGGCTCTCAGTCCCAGGTAGAAGCCAGCTATCTGTGTGCTAGAGGAGCTGTTCTCCCAGGCACAGCTTAGCTGCTGTTCCCTGGGCTCCAGCTCTCCATTCTGCTCACAGTCGGATCATTGACTTCCGACCTTAGGCAATTCACCGCCTCGAGGATGAAGCCTGATCTCTGCTGTGGCTTTAATTTGTCCTCTCTTTGCTTTCCCAAGTCTCATTGGTGGCAGCCCTGCCTGCCACCCTGGTCTCTAAAAGGTGGATGGAATTCCCTTGGGTTCTCAGGTTGAGCCCAGGATCCTCAGCCTCTCCCTAGGGTGCCCTACCCAACTCTCAACTGGTCCCTGGAGATTTTTGAGCTCGGTTTGGGTGTTCTTCAGCTGTTCCCTCTGGGGATCTTGGCCTGGTAGCCAGCCAGGCCCTGCTCTGAGGTGCCACCAGGCTTGAACTGCCATCTTTGTGCTCCTGGAAAGCAAGCTCTCCCGGGGGCACGAGTTTCCTGTTGAGTTTGCTCCTCAGAGACCTTTTTGCTGTGAGAACAGGATAAATGGAAAGGGATTACAGCAGTAGCAGAATTTTTGCTGTTTTCTAGTTTGTCGTTTTCTGGGCTTTTAAAAAAGAGCTTTAAAATAGATGTTTCTATGGTTTCGTTTAGATGGCTGTGAACCTGGAATAGCTGGTGCTGCTATTGTAGAGAATGCACTGCTATTATTGGTCTTTTAATGTGAATATATTTACAAATTATATATAATCACATAGTTACATATGCAAATATAACCCACACATATTTATATAGAGAGCCATATGTAATCTGTTTATGTACATATAATGCACATGTATCTATATAATTTATATCTATATATAATTCGATATATATGTATATTGGTCTAGAAATGTTAAACTTCATTTCCACATTTGCACAAGGCCATGCACTGTATTAAATATGTAAGGGTGTTTTGTTTTTGTTTTTGCTGTTGTTTGGGGTTCTTTTTTGGTGGTTTTTCGAGATAGAGTTTCTCTGTAGCTTTGGAGTCTGTCCTGGAACTCACTCTGTAGACCAGGCTGGCCTTGAATTCACAGAGATTCCCCTGTCTCTGCTTCCTAAGTCTTGGGATTAAAGATGTTGTACCACCACTGCCCAGTTAAATATGTAAGGTTTTTTTTAATTACATGGATTTCTCTAAGAAACTAATGAAGTCTTCTCCAGGTAATGAGAACAACAGCAACAATACAGAGCAGGAAAGGCTGAGGATCTGGTTAAGGGATGATGGGATGATCCCTGTCCTTGAGTCCACTGATGACCATGTTTGGCCCCTCCATATTGATAGAGGAAAGTGGCAGCCAGTTCTACTGTTGGCAGACCCTGAAATGGCTACTGCTGGGGTCACAAGTGTGCAGCTGGTAAGGGCAGGAGGAGGAGCAGGACTTCTACTGCCCTTAGTGAGTGACACGGGCACAGCAAGAATTGGAACAGATGGGCAGAAAGGCCCCTTCTACAGAGGGCAGTCCTGCCCATCTCCTGCCCTGAGAAAGGCTATGCCCTCCTCCCTTCCTGGAACTCCCACGGGGCTAGCAAACCTCATTACATCATGACATCTTTACCCCCTTTTCCCTCCTCTCTCCTACCTTCCTGAGCTTGGTTTTGCCTTCCAAACCAGAAAAAAAAACTTCAGGCAGGCCTCATTAACACAAGTGTGGATCAGTAGAATCAGTAAGTTGGGGTGCAAAGAGCAGATAGTGGACAAATCATTGCACCCCAATTCCTTCTTCTGTATGAGGGGGTGTGAAGTGTAAAGTTGAGTCTCATTCCATCACAGAACTGCACAGTGCCCCTCCCTCTGCACCTCCACACTTCCTGCCCCATGATGCAATGCTTCACTGGACCCCCAGTTCTCCCTTTACTGTGGAGAACTGGCCCATACTTTTTACTTCTATCTTAATCTACGTTATAGTTCAAATAAACTCCACCTCACATGCTCTTACCCAGTTATAGTTCAAATAAACTCCACCTCACATGCTCTCACCTAGTGGCCTCTCAGCCTGAGGAGCCTCAGACTAAAAGACTTTGCCTCCTCTGAGCTGAAGCTGTGGTGAGGATGTATTCTTCAGGCGCAAGGGGACTGAATGAAGCCGAGCAGACAGATTAAACAGAATCTAACTGACCCTCTGGCCACAGCAGCAGCAGCCCACAGAAAGCCCATGCTGCTGGATGCATAGCTGCTTCTTCAGACAATAACGTACTTCAGATCAAATACTTAGAGCTAAAAAGCCCTTGAAGAAGCTGGTTTAAACTTATTTGACAGGCTAGGGCCCACATAGTCCTCCTCCTGGTCCAGCTCCATGGATGGAAGGCTGTATGTGGCCTCCATAGGGCTCTTCACTTTTGGAAACACAGTAAACCTCTTGTGTTGCTATTTCTCAGAAGAGAACTATTCCCTCCTACAAGGAAGAAGGACCACATCAGACTCAAGAAGGAAAGGAATCTTACCAGGCTCAGAAAATGAGCACAACTCAAAAGTTTCAGGAAGTTTTTGGAACTTACAGAATAAACAAGGCCCTTTCACTGAAAAGCCTTGTAACAATCACCAGGAGACGAGTGTCTTCTCGAGCTTGTGGAGCTGCCTGCAAGTCTTCAAAGGAGTCCAAGGATAAAGCTTCCTTGAGTCACCGTGCTTCCGTGGGCCCTCCAGTGATAAGGCAAAATCAGGCTCATTTTTTTCTACAGTTCCATCATTATCTGTTTGGGTGAGTCCTGACCATGAAGATTCTGGAAGGAGAATAAGTAGCAACCATGTCCACAGAGGCCATGAAAGTTCAGTCAAGTCTTTGGGAAGCAAAGTCACCCTGCCCTGAGATCTGTGCATCAGCACACTGCCCACAGACTGAGATCCCTCTTTGTGACTTGGGGCACCGAGGCAGCATCTGGACCCTAGCACACACCCGATGGAACATTGAGTGCTCTGGACTGGCGTTCGTCTGTCTGGGACTTTACCTTCATCTTTTCCTTATATATTACAGCCAGACTTCTTACCTCTAGAGGGTAGAAAAGGGTTTCTGAATCCATATTTCCCTATGTCAAATCTCTATGAAGCGCAACTCCCAGGCAAAAGGCTTAATTCACTGGGGAATCCTGCATGATTGGGAGGAGACATGGCCAGGGATACCTTACTGTCTACCAGGTGACTGTCTGCTAGAAAAGCATAAACAAGAGACATGCCTCCAGGTCTTCACATTAGCAGGATGGACATGGAGCCTTCTGGAAGATGAGGTTGATTTGTGGTGCCTGCAGACTGGCTGTAAGGAAGCCAGAGGTGTTTGAGCTCCAATCCTGGACCTAGAAAGAGGGAGGAGCAGCAGGGGGGAACAGCCTCCTGGGCCTCCCAGTAAGGTGAGCAGGCTCAAGACAGGAGGAAGCTCTGTGTCCATGGCTTTTGAACACTTAAAGACAACAGAGACCCTAGAGGAGGAGAAGGGACCTATAAAGGTTCTCTTCCACCTGTCCTCAGGTGTCACCAGGGAAACCCGAGGCTCACCAGATGCTTCCACCTTAGAGATTTGAGGGAAGCTGGTCCCCAGGTCTTCCTGGCAGTGATGGACTAGCTTGTTGGGGGAGACTACAGGTGGTGGTAGCTCCTCAGCTGGGTCATCAAGTCTCAACCAAAGAGTCATGAAGGCCACCAGTTAGTTGACCTCCTATGTGGTCGAAGCCACTAGGCAGCCTGGAGCTAGGGATCGTGTAGGACAGAAAACAGTTTTGCTGCAGAGGAAGGAAGTCAACTGACTTAACAAGCCATGTGACCTGCTAAGGACAACTGGGGCCCTGAGCTGCTTTTCAGAGCACACATTCCTCAGGAGCAGGAGGGAAAGGAAGCATCCAGCAAGTGTTCAATTTTGTACCCTGGCTGCAAATAGACACCTGTGAGGGAAATCTGTGGGAGACCCTATGGGATTGGGGTCTGTGAGTTCCCAGAGCCACAAGAGAAGGCATCTTTTTTCACCCAGTCTGTGGTGCTTTGTCCCAGCAACCCTAGAAGTGAGATTTCACTTTTCTGGGCAGGCAGGGCTGGGCAGGGGGAGTCCTGGGAGGGTAACGGTGTCCCTCCTATAACAAACTTTGTCTGAGAGAGGAAAGCAGGAAGGAGCAGGGGAAGACATATCTGATGTCCTTCCTGGGCTCACTTCATCTTGGACTCCCATCCTTACTGTGCCCCAGCCTCGGCCAGGAGTGGGTGAGTCTCCAGTGTGGGTGGTATCCTGGATTGACGGCAGTCAGCTGGAGCAGCCCCTGTCAGAGTTTAACCAACTCCCCAGTCTTAGATGGAAGGCCTTGACCCCGTCTCAAGGAGAGGGACATGAGACAAATGCATTTACATTTTTTTCTTTCTTTTTTTGAAACAGGACCTTAACCATCTTAGGCTGGCTTTGAACTTGCTGTGTAGCTGAGGATGACTTTGAACTTCTGATCCTCCTGCTTCCAACTCCTAAACTCTGGGAGTACAGGTCTGTATCACCACACCTAGTTCATGCAAGCTGAACCCAGGTCTTCGTGCATGCGAGGTCAGTGAGCTATGTCCTTGGTCTTGAATCTTTATGTCTTCATCAGGCTTTAAAGGTGAGGTGGAGTGGGCCAGGCTAGGGCTTGGGGGCCTCTCGCAGTGTCTACTCCTGCCTCCCATCCATCCCCAACCAGCTTGAAAGCGGGGAGACTGGTCCTGTTTCACCTGTAGAAATGTTTTGTTATATTTCAGCTTCCTTTAGTCATTTAAGAACTTAAGTTCTTACCTTCCCAAATGAGGTCATCTTTTATATTTCCTGCGAGGTGGTACTGAATGAAGTGAGATGCCTGCATACAGGGACCCCATGCCCTTCTGGCAGAGTCGATACAAATTTATATCATAGAAGTATGAACAAAGGAAAAAAATTGCCCAGGCTGAAGAAATTCGCAATGCAGACTAACTCAACCAGCTCCCTTCAGGATGAATTAGTTGAGGGCTGAAAATCAGAGAAAGCAGCTCCAGGTCCTATCTGTCCAAGCCCTGCTCTCCTACCAACCTCTTTCCAAAGGTGTGAAGAAGTAAGCAAAGTCAGGGAAGCTGCCTTTCCTTCCTGCTTCTAGCTCTAAACCTGTCCAAAAGAAAGCAAATGAAGAGGCCTATCCTCGCAGCCAACCTCAGCACGGTGAGAATCCCTGAGATGGAATAGCCTCCCCCGCCCAGCCTCCCCCCCCACAAGATTTAGCCAGCTAGCTGGTCTTGCCAAGTCAGTGAGCTCCAGGTTCAGTGAGTAGCCCTGTCTCTAAATAAATAATAGAAGAAGATACCTAATTTTGAGCTCTGATTCCAACCCCCACTCTTCCCCCCCCCAGCTCCCTCCCACACATACCCTAACAGACACTCAAAATCGTGGTCAGCTCCCAGGGAAACCTCGGCCTCCTTCTAGGGAACCACAAACTACCAAGGCTCTGAGGTGAATGAGAGGGGAAAGTTTCTCCTTACCTCCCCCGCCAGACTTGAGACTTGACTTTGGAGTGGGAGGGGAGAAATAGCCAATTCCTACTTCCCCATTGCTAGGGTCCTCTAGAGCTTTCGGGAGGCCTCCATCTTGTTCCTCCTTGCCTTGCTGCCTCCTTACAAGGTGCGGTGCCCAAGGCCTAGGCAGAGAGGCCTCTGATGCCTGCAGTGGGACCCCAGCACCTTACATATGCACGGCCCACACTTTGCACACTGTCCAGACTCTGCCCTTACCACTCAGCTGAGAGTTCATGTCCCTCTACAAGGGATGTACAGGACCGATGCCTTGTGGAAGAGGGGGCCTACCTGTACAGGGCAGAGTTTATTGACAGACCCAGCCCCCCTCCCCCATACTCACCACACGGGACCCACACTCCGGGGTTCCAATAAGGTCCGTGGAAACCCAAAACAGGTTCCCTTGAGAACCTGTGTAGGAAGTCGTCCTTCAACCAACTTGTCGCTACCCCTTTTACACAGGCGCTCTGACACCCACCCGTGCACACACAGATACGCTAATGGCTCCTGTGTGTGGTCCTCACAGGCCCCAGGGCTCACCCACCCCAGGTGCCCAGTACACCCAGGACCTGCCGCCTAGGGAGTCGGGAGGTGGGGGAGGGGTCAGAAACTGGAGGAGAGTTCTGTGGCCGAAGGCTGGGGCTGCAGAGCAAAGTCGCCGCAAAGGCACACATTGCCCATTTTGAAGGGACGGAGGGTACGGGCCTGCTCCGAAACAGGTGCTTACCAAGACTGGGTGACTGAAAGCGGGCCCGGCAGCCTTGCCCTGCCCACATCCCTGCGCCATGGCTTCAGCTCTGCGGCCTTCTCACCCCTCCCCAGCACAGCGCCACTGTACGTGGGGCTCAGCCCAGGTCCCCTCTGAGAGGAAGATAGAGGTTGGCTTTTGTCTGACCAGGTCACACGGAGCCGTTTTGTGGGATAAAGGCTTAACGCTCCGTGAACACGCAGAAAAAGCTGGCGCTGGCCCTCTGACAATCCCATTGTCTCAGGCCTGAGCCCGGAGGTTTGGTCTGAAAGCGCCAAGTTCATGACATTTCAAAGAGAAACGATACTGGGAGGAGGTGGGAAGGGAGGGGGGATGTAGCGAAGAAATAAAACCCTAAAATACAAAGGTAGCAATATTTGGCTTCTTCCCCGCTATGCGCCTCACCCCACCCAGCTCAGAACAAATCTCCTTTTCTAGACTTATCTGGAAACGAGGGGCCAGCCTGAAACCCGGATCAGTCCCGGGGGCTGCGGTTTGGAAGGCGAAGGTGTGAAAATATGCCCACATAAGCCGTGTGCGAGCTTCCTGGACTGCCGCAGACATTAGCACAAGCTCCCATTGTCTGAGCTGCCCCCGAAAGATGACACTACAAATTTGCCAGGACTTGAGGTGTCAAAAAGAGTTTCTTTTAACGACCTGGACTGTTATTGTTTTCTTTCATTTCTTCTTATTATTACCATATCCTTTTATTTTTTTTAAAGCAAAGCTATTTTCTGAGCCAGGGATTTTTTTTTTTTTTTGGTGTTTAATTTGTTTAATGTGCCTTTGTAAAAGCAAATAATTCGGTAGGGAAAGCGAAGTCGTCAGGAAATTGAATGTGTTTTGTCTCCAGCCAAGTTTCCCTTGAGTGCTTTCGTTTGCTTTCTGTCTCGCACAGCCGCCTCTGCACTGGGACCTCCAGGCCCGGCAGGCAGGAAAACAGCCCACCGAACGTCTTCCACACTTTGGGGGTCAACACCCCTCAGCCTAACTACCTAGGCAAACCACCCTCTGGAAGAACAAAAAAAAAAAAAAAAAAAAAAAAACCGTGGCCATGCAGACTCGTTGTAGTGCGAGAAGAAAATAGGATTAGGCCAAAGTATGAGCAAGGTAAGTCGGATTACCAGCAAGGTTCGCTGGGCTCTGGCTTTCTTTTGTGATTTTAATTGTATAAAGGTATCTGCTTCCCCTCTCCGGTTTTATTTAAAGAGGCTGTTTGTTTGTGCCCAAGAGGTAAATGATGAGCCAGAAGGCTGTGCGGGATTGGAGACTATAACCTTGCAAAATGACATCTCGCCCTGTAACGCGTGACACGCACGGGCAGATAAAGGAAGTGCGCCAAGCGCGGCCTTTGTTAACGCTTTTTGCCCCCTGGCGTCCCTTTGATGGAAGGACACCCCGCTCCTGCTGCTGAGGTGTCTGCCGATGCGGGTACCTTCCCCACAGGCAACCGCAGCGAGGACTACAAATCGATTCATTTTTTAAAACATCCAGGAAGAGAAGGGTGTTTAAAAGCTTATGAGCAGGGATCATAGATCATCAAACCTCTAGAGAGAAGATTGGGGAAAAAAAAAGTCCCGTTTATTGTTTTAAAATCAAGTCTGTTGCTTTTTGCCACATGTAAATTTAGTCTGGGTTTGTTAATCAGGCTCTTGTGTGTGTTAGAAATTAATACAATGTCTTTGGGGCGAGGCAAGAGAGAATTTATAATCGTTTAAGTTTGCAATTAACTTTGGGGGCAGAGGGCTGCAGCTAGCTCCCTGAGTAGCCAAGGACGGTGCAGGAAGCATTTGGAAGCTATCAAGTCTGTCTGTGGCTTTATGAAGGTCCTTTCTCGGCGGAAAGCTAGAGGGACAGAATCCAATACAAAACTGGAGGGGTTTGCTGGTCTGGTTGGGAATGAAATGTGGGTCTGGGCAAAGCTCAGCGCCACAGGGGAAGAAAGTGCAGGCTGATCTACGTTTGCCCTTCGGAGGGTCTGCTGAAAACGGGGAAGGCCGGGATAGTTCCCTTTTAGGCTTCACACTCAGAATGTCTCTTTCTATAAATGGAGACTGGTTACCTCCCTCCCCACAAGACTTTCTGACTCCTGGGGAAGCTGCAGCAGACAGCTCCCAGACAGTCTGGTCTCCTTGCTACAGAGGCACAAGTTTGTTTGAACTGAGAGTGTCTTTGCCTGTGTTTCTTCTCTTTGCTGTGCAGCAGTCTGTACCAGAAAATCTGCAAATTTCTAGATGGGGCACTTCTGGGGCTTTTGGGGGTGACTTCGGAAGAGTGTTGCTAACAGTTTTATTAATCTGGCAAACAAAACAGAGATGGGGCTTTGTCTTTCCACTTCCTTCTTTTCCATATTTAACATAGATATACACGCATGTAAGAAGTAATGGGCTCTGCAAAGCCAAACCTTGCTGATGCCATGTTTTAATGCTGTGGCTTGCAAATTCATGCCATGCTTGGGTGCCTCTTTAAAAAAGGAATCGATAATTTAGCTCACTGCTAAGGCTCAGAGTCTGTTATCGGCTCCGAAGTGGGATGGGAACACAGCTTCTTTGGTCAAAACTCTACTCTGGTTATTTAGTAGAGAATCACTTAAAAGTAGCTTGTTTCTCCTGAAAGGCCTGTCCTTTATGTCTCTTCCTAATCTTTAAGCTATGAAGGTGTGTGTGTGGGGGTGCTGGGGAAGTCATCTCCTGAAGGCTCCTTATCCCCAGCTGCTAGGCCTGAGGAGTTGAACCTGGAGAGGGTGGACAGTAGGAAGTACTTGGATGGCTCCTCTCATCCGAACTTGAGATGAGTGTGTGTGTGTGTGTGTGTGTGTGTGTGTGTGTGTAGGGAGAAAGGGAGGGAGGGAACAGGCCAGGCCAGAGAATATGGATAGAGTGTGTTGGTAAAACAGAAGGAAGAGCCAGCAGCTCTGAGGAGGATGCCAAATGCCTGAAAGGAGCTACACTTGTGGTATCAGATGTGCCTTGGCTTGGTCCTGGATATCCAGGACACCTTGTCAATGTTAGAGGAATCTCCCCATTGGTGGCACTTTATCCTCAAGACTAACTGTGCTCTTTTAGCTAGAAGACCGAGGCTAAGGTGAGCCAGCCTCTGAAGCCAAAGAAGAAACATCAAAGGCAGAATTACAGGAACAGAATTAGATGCTGTGGGACCATCACTCACCCCTCTGCACTGGGGAGGCTGAGGGAGAGAGGCAATGGTGATTCTTCTGTAGTAAATCCATGGGAAGTAGGAGTTGCCAGATCCTGCCTTTCCTCCCCTAACTCACAGATACTGTTAACCACAGGACCGCGGGATTTGTGCTTTTGTCCGCGAGACTAGCAGCTTCTTCTTCCGTAGTCATGGCACAAGTACCTCAGGTTTGAAAGATCTGTGGAGGTTCAGGTTCTGGACTCAGCTCAGGATGCATTTGCAGAACCTGGCTGGATGAGAAGCCTGGCTGCTGAGGGCTGCTGCCCAGGGAGTGCAAAGAAACAGGGTTGAGGCTTCCTGGAACCCCATTTCCTTGGTCAATCTTGAGCCTCAGGCCCCTGGCTCTAGAGACTTACAGACTGCTTTTTTGTTTGGGAGAGAGAAGTATCAGAGATGCTAACTGTATATTGGCAAAGTCTGAGAAAAATACTTGAGATATTTGGCAAGAATTTAGCCCCAGAGCCAAGGAGCTCAACAAAGCCCAATTTGAGGGAATCTAGTCGGATGTGTATCTGGTGCTAGAGTGGCCCCTATAAAAGATTATCTTTTATAACCTTAAACAGTGGTTGGACCCTGACGGGTTCCAATTCCTGCTTCCAACTGCTCAGGGGAAAGCATTGGTTAGGTGGAGAGCCCCAGTTAAAAGAACAGACCTAGGAAGCTTTGTCAGTCCACCATGTTTGGGGTGAGCTGGGGAGAAGCCCGAGTCTGCTGTAAAAGCTGGGTTACAAGAAGAGAACAAAATGAAAGCTGTAAATGGGTTTGTAGGTATACATGTTTATTTAATATTTAACTGCTCTAAATATAGTTTTATTGGCTGTATCAAGCCCCTGAATTGAGCAGTACCCAAAAGCTGTCTCTTAGCCAAGTTCAAACATGTCAGCTCCCTCTGTGGGCACTCCCTATGAATTTTATTCATTCTTCAGTTTATTCAAACTTGTTTTTGAACCATAGGAAGGGAGTTTTATTTGGCTAGTAAAGATTGTGTTTAGTTCATTGAGTATGCATTGCCAAAGTTTAGCAGTCAATGCCCACCTGAATTCCAAATTGGGAGGTTAAATATTTGTTTTTAATTTTCTGGCTCAAAAATGTTAACGAACAGAAAGGGATTCTTTCTGCTTGAGTGAGGCTCCTAGAAGTGTGTCTGCTGTGAGCACCTGCCTCAGAGCCAGCGTTCCCTTCCTGCCCTGACACACTCTTCTTGGAAACTTAACCCCCAGGAGAAACGTGTGTAAATAAACAAGTACTAGCCTTTGAATAAGGACGCAGCATCCATGATTAGAAGCAAAGTTAGCTAAAAAGAATGCCTTCCAGAAAATATTGGCACCACAGACCCCTTAACGGTGGTCCTTTACAAGATGCGATTGTGTGAGGAACTTCAAGGTATAATTTGCAAACCGTTTTCATTTGTTGTATTAACATATTTAAACGGACCTTTAAAAACAAGCAAATTGCTCTTTTCTGCACCGACTTCAATTAAACAATGAGAAGGCAATACGAGCATGGTGAACAGCATCTCTGGCATGCGCCACCTGATCAGGGACCAGAGAAGACGCTTTCTGTACAGAGGTACATTTCAGACAAACCAAACTGCAAATAGTTTGAAATGTGCTGCTCGAGCCAAGTCCATCTTGTGATGGACTGTTGACCAATCTGACCAGCACCCATGGAGTGACTGCCAGCAGTCTCCAACCCAGAACTTTGACAGGCAAGATCTCAACAACCATGACAACCAAGCCCACCCTGGGTTTTCGCTAAAATGGCAGCTTTTCTTCTCCATCGTATCCTGCCTCTCAGAGAGCGCAAAGGTGGAGGGGTGGGGCAGGGCTGCCAGTGCCATTCAGACCTATGGCAGCTTTCAGGATCGGCCAAAGGTAAGC